GTGCAGAGAGCCTGGGGGGGGGATAGACAGGTGCCTAGGTGCAGACCCTGCTCAGGGCCCAGGCAGGAGATGACTGGGCCAGGAAGGGGAGTGGGGACTGAGGAGGGTGTTTAGTAGTAATCCAGTGGGTTTCCCAGAAAGTTAGAAGCCAAGGGTGATGGCGCTGGGGACTCTGTTTTCTCCAAGGGTGTGGGGACCAGATACAGGCAAATTCGAGTTACTGTAAGAGGTCGGGTATGAAGGGGCTCTCTGCACGGAAAAGAATGTTGGGTGGGTTTGAGGACAGGACCCATTCACAGCTGCGAGGAGGTAGGAGCTGAGACCCGGCAGGGTCAGGAGCACCAGCCTGAGGCAATAGAAACAAAGTGGACATAACTGTGGGTGGAAAGCTGGGAAGGCTCTGGTGAGGGGTAGCTGGACATCCAGGAAGGAGCCTCCTGGGCCAGATCCTAGGGGCAGGGGAGCGCCAGAAGGAGCGGGCTGGCCTCAGCGACCCTCCTGGAGCCCCATTGTAAAGTGGGGGCAGGACCCCGCAGGGGGCGCGGGCGGCGCTCGTGGGGACGGCCACCTGAGGCTTCGTGGGGCACACGGACGTCCTTCTCGAGGGGTTGCAGGAGGTGGCGGTGGGCGCAGCGTGGGGAGCGGAGCCTGGGGAGAGCTATTGTCCTGGGCCCGAGCCTGCCCAGGCGGCGAGGCTGAGTGCGCCACCACCAAGAGGCTAATGCGCCCACGAGGCTGGGCAGGAGGAGCCCAGCTTCCTCTCCCTTTATCCATTGTCCCCAGTGATAAACGTCTTTGTTCAATCTCGTCTTCCCGCTGCTCCCACCGGATTCAGGGCCTGAGGATGACTCCTCCGGGGGCCGGGGAAGACACATTCCCGAATAAAATCCGGGCTGGTTGCGTCTGCCCGGACCTTGCCCGGGGCTGGGAGCCCGGACCCCAAGTGCCGCCTCGGGCATTTGCAGGAGTAGCTGTCTCCCGGGACGGGGGCGTGGGTGGACCATGCACCCTGGGGCTGGGAGGTGGGGAGGAAACACCCCACGCTCCCGCGCGAGGATGCTTGGACCGGAGGAAGCGGCCGGTCACCTCTCTGTGAGCGGGCTCGTCCCTGGGCCCGGGCCGCAGCCCCAGCCCAGCCCACCCTGGGGTTCAGCCCGACGCCCAGGCACTGCTTTCCAGCCCCAAC